TTTCCTTTTCTCTTTTGGGAAAAATTTTTCCGGGGGGAATGTAGGGGACTTTCATTTGGGGGGCCTAGGGGCGGGGAAAAAAAAAGAAAAAAAAAGGGTTTAAAAAATAATTTTTTCAAAAAAAAAAAGGAAAATTTTTACAATATCCCTTTTTCCTTTAATTTTAGCAGAATACGGTTTTAAAAAAATGGAAAAATTTTGCTTAAAGGGGGAATTTTTTATTTTTTCGCAAAAAATCAAAAAAACAAAAAAATCAATGATTTTTAATTTCGAAAAACTAAAAAAAAACCAAAAAAATTTTTTTGGGGGAATTTTGGGAAAAACTAGGAAAAAACTGTAGGGGGAATGTTTTGGGTTGGGGACGTTTTTAAAAAAACCCCCATAAATCCCAATTTTATTCCCAAAAAAGTTTTGGGGGGGCCAAAAGCCCCCCCAAAATTCCCTTTAGTTGGGTTCCTGGTAAAAAAAAAAAAAAAAAGGGTTAAAAAATTTCCTACCCCCCCACGGGTTTGATCCAGGGGAAAGGGGCAAAAAAAAAAAAAAAAAGAAAAGGGGGCTTTTAACCCAATTTTTGCCCCTTTGCGGGGAAAAAAAAAACCATTCATTCCTGACCCCCCCCGAGGGGCCCAAATGGGGGTTTATTTCCCTGGATAAAAATTTAAACCTTTATAATTTTTTAAAACCCAGTTATTTTTTTCTGTTTTATCCAAAAAAGGGGGTCCGGGGATTTTTTTTAAAGGGGAAACCCCAACGGGAAACTGGCCAAAAACCCCACAGAGTCAATAGCTATAGACCTCCAAACTTGGTGTGGCCTTCAGATTAGCACAACAACAGTGTGTAGAGAGCTTCATGGAATGGGTTTCCATGGCTGAGCAGCCTTACATCACCAAGTGCAATGCAAAGCGTCAAATGCCATGGTGTAAAGCAAGCTGCCACTGGACTCGAGAGCAGTGGAGACGTGTTCTCTGGAGCAGGGGCGGACTGACAACTCATGGGGCCCCCGGGCAATAGGGGATCATGGGGCCCCTGTGTCTTTGCCCAAACTCAAAAAAGCCTATGAAAAAGGTACTGTCCGCAATCCGATGGACATGTCTGGGTTTGGCAGTTGCCAGGAGAACGGTACTTACCTGACTGCATTGTGCCAAGTGTAAAGTTTGGTGGAGGGGGGTTGTTCTTCAGGGGTTGGGCTTGGCCCCCTAGTTTTAGTGAAGGGAACTCTTAGGCTTGGTTCACATCTGTGCGGGTGGTGCTGCTGCGGGACCCGGACAAATACCTGCAGCCGTACCACCCGCACCGTGGAATGGGGGACCCGCAGACGGGTGCCAATAATTCTAATGGTACACCGCCTGCACTGGAAATCACAACTGTACTGGGAACCTCGGGCTGCGATTTCCCAAGTAGTACAGGACTTCATCCCTGCATGTCCTGGGCACAGGAGTCCATTCAAGTGAATGGGCTCTTGTTCCTACACAAATCATGGCCTGCGTGGCCGCACAGATGGGAACAAGGGGTTAAAGTGATTCTAAAGGCTTGTTTTTTTTAAAGAAAAAAATAACAAACATGTCTATACTTACCTGCTATGTGCGGTGGTTTTGCACAGGGCAGCCCAGATCCTCCTCTTCTTGGGTTTCCCGCAGGCTCTCCTGGCTCCTCCCTCCTTTCAGGTGTCCCCACAGCAAGCAGCTTGCTATGGGGACACCAACTGATCCATGTGTCCAATCACACAAGGAGTTGCGGCTCAGCCTCACCCCCTCTCTCTTCTCCTTGGCTCACTGGCTGTGATTGACAGCAGTGGGAACCATTGAGAAGAGGGAGTCCTGGGATAGCCGAGACTCCAGTGCACATCGCTGGATCGAGAGAGGTGATTATTAGGGGGGCTGGGGGGGGGGGATGCTGCATAGAGAAGGTTTTTTGCATTCCCATAGACACCCTCCTAAACTTTGTGGACGGCCTTCCCAGAAGAGTTGAAGCTGTTATAGTTACAAAGGGCGGGGCCAACTCAATATTGAACCCTATGGACTAATGCAGGCCATACATGGTTCGAATTCCGAACGATTTTCATATGAAAATTGGACCTAAGAATAATTGGCCGATTTTCGCTCTGTTACTGGAACAATCGGCATCGGCCGATTTTTGTGGTTCCTCCCCATTTCATTTATCGGGCATGCTGGAAAATTCGTGAAAAACGGCCGATTTTCTAAATCATTGGTGGCACCATCGGATTACAGAACGAACGACGTTTCGATTTTCGGACGAAAAATTGTTCGAATTTGAACCATGTATGGCCTGCATAAGACTGGGAGGCCATTAACCATTTGCTGCCCGCCCTATGGCCGAATGGCGGCCGGCAAATGTCATCAGTGTTCTGGGTGGACGCCATATGGTATTCTCCCGCACATGCGCAGATTGCGCTTCTGCAGAGCCGCGCAGCGGCACGATCTGTCACCGGCCGTGTACCTCGGACACGGCCAATGACAGATTTGAGTATGGGCCCTGTTGCCGGTACCATGTGACCTGCTGTGACCAATCACAGCAGGTCACATGACAGTTGTACACAATGGATGGCTTCATTCATGCCATCCATTGTATGCTAGTGTCTAGCTGTGAATGGTCACAGCGATCACATGCACATGTCATGTGATTAGCCGTGGCCAAATCACAGCTAAGCACAAAAAAAAAAAAAAAAAAAACCCTGAATGAATCGATGTCATTCAGGTAAATGCTTGCTTATAGCAAAGTAATTCTTTGCTATAAGCAAATTGTGTAAAAAAAATAAAAATAAAAAAATACTGATCACTTCCCCAAAGTAGTACAATTTTACTATGGTAACATTGTACTACTTTGGTCATAGTAAAATATGAAAAGAAAATCTTAAAAAAAGAAATTTTTTTTTATAAAAATAGTAAAAAAAAAAAAAAAAATATATTTTTTTTTTCATTCTGTCACCAGTCAGTGTCCCTGATCACCGCCATGCCACTTAGATGATGACGCTGTACTGCACTGGTGACAATATGTAAAATAAAATACTGAAACTAATTTTTTTAATTTTTTCATTTTCCGAAAAATTATGACAAAAAAATACAACTTCAAAAAACTCGCCATGCCTCTTATGAAGTACGTCGGACTGTCTACTTTACAAAAAGGGGTCATTTGGGGATATCTGTACTGTTCTGACATTTGGGGGATATCTGTACTGTTCTGACATTTGGGGGATATCTGTACTGTTCTGACATTTGGGGGATATCTGTACTGTTCTGACATTTGGGGGATATCTGTACTGTTCTGACATTTGGGGGATATCTGTACTGTCTGACATTTGGGGGATATCTGTACTGTTCTGACATTTGGGGGATATCTGTACTGTTCTGACATTTGGGGATATCTGTACTGTCTGACATTTGGGGGATATCTGTACTGTTCTGACATTTGGGGGATATCTGTACTGTTCTGACATTTGGGGATATCTGTACTGTTCTGACATTTGGGGGATATCTGTACTGTTCTGACATTTGGGGATATCTGTACTGTCTGACATTTGGGGGATATCTGTACTGTTCTGACATTGGGGGGATATCTGTACTGTCTGACATTTGGGGGATATCTGTACTGTCCTGACATTTGGGGGATATCTGTACTGTTCTGACATTTGGGGGATATCTGTACTGTCCTGACATTTGGGGGATATCTGTACTGTTCTGACATTTGGGGGATATCTGTACTGTTCTGACATTTGGGGGATATCTGTACTGTTCTGACATTTGGGGATATCTGTACTGTTCTGACATTTGGAGGATATCTGTACTATTCTGACATTCTTGGACCTCCAGAAATTAGATTGGCTGTCAGTACTTCAGGATTGATCAATATTCAGATCTATCCCATAGTTTGTGAACTCTATAACTTTCCTACAAACTAAAAAATACATCCTAATTTGGGTTATTTTCACCAAAAGACATGTAGCAGAATACATCTCGGCCTAAATTTATGAAGAACAATTATTTATTTGCAAACTTTTATAACAGAAACAAAGAAAAACGTGTGTTTTTTTTTTCAAAATTTTTGGTCTTTTTTTGGTAATTTAGCAAAAAATAAAAACCCCAGTGGTGATTAAATACCACCAAAAGAAAGCTCTAGTTGTGTGAAGAAAATGATAAAATTTTAGTTTGGGTACAATGTTGCATGACCGTGCAATTGTCATTCAAAGTGTGAGAGCGCTGAAACCTGAAAACTGGCCTGGGCAGGAAGGTGTAAAATTGCCCGTATTGAATTGGTTAAAGTCCATGTGCGTGGCAAGGCAGGCAGACCAATACTTTTGGCAATATAGTGTATTTAGGTCAAGCAGGAAAAAAGAGGACTGGCACTGAGAGAAATACCGAGGATTTCATAGCTGGTCTCCTGTAAGAGATTGTAACAGCAGATTTTGAAAACTAGGAAACATGTTATACTTACCTGCTCTGTGTAATGGGTTTGCACAGAGCAGCCCCAGGCTAGGAGAAGGGTCACACACGCAGATTACATTACTTCTGATTCTACGCTATGCACACGGGAAGTTTTCATCTGTCGGTCTAGAATTTTAAAACCATTAAAGTGCTACTGAAGTTACGTGACCTTACACAGCTAACGTTACCAGCGTTATTAAAATGCACAGTGTGCATGGAGCCTAAGGGGTTAATCCTCTGCATTGTTTAAAAATGTTTGATCCTATCTTCACTGATCCTCCCCTTCTTCTACTGTCCTCAATCCATCTGCTGATAGTACAGAGCTCTAGGAGTCACTTTGCACATGCTCAGTTTAGTGTGTATGACTAGAGAGGTTTTTTTTTCTTTGGGAGGGTGCATGTGATCAGCACAAGGCCAATCAGCACTGTCCAGACAAAAGGTCAGGGGTTATGCAGCCTTATAGGACAGTCAGGGGAGAATGAAAACTCCTCCTACAAGCTTTAACCAGTGCTCTGCTGGACACTGATAGATGTCAAAAGACTGCTATATACTGCTAGGTATTTAGCAGTTTATATTTACTAAAGTAATTAAATTTCCATGGGAATTTCCTGTGGGAGACCAGATATAGTGAATGCAGGTCCGGGGAGACCAGATATAGTGAATGCAGAGTCCAGGGAGACCAGATATAGTGAATGCAGGGTCCGGGGAGACCAGATGTAGTGAATGTCTGGTCCTGGGAGACCAGATATAGTGAATTCAGGGTCTGGGGAGACCAGATATAGTGAATGCAGGCTTCGGGGAAACCAGATATAGTGAATGCATGGTCCTGGGAGACCAGATATAGTGAATGCAGGGCCCTGGGAGAGCGGATATAGTGAATGCAGGGTCCGGGGAGAGCGGATATAGTGAATGCAGGGTCCTGGGAGACCAGATATAGTGAATGCAGGGTCCAGGGAGACCAGATATAGTGAATGCAGGGTCCAGGGAGACCAGATATAGTGAATGCAGGGTCCAGGGAGACCAGATATAGTGAATGCAGGGTCCAGGGAGATCAGATATAGTGACTGTAGGGTCTGGGGAGACCAGATATAGTGAATGCAGGGTCCGGGGAGACCAGATTTAGTGAATGCAGGGTCCAGGGAGACCAGATATAGTGAATGCAAGGTCCTGGGTTTAGTAACACTTTAATGGCATTCTTGGTTTGTGCATGCTACAAACATTCAGGGGAAATCAGATGGTTGTTCGTCCAGATTTCTAACAATGCGTAACGGGCTTTAATGGCAGGACCACCAGTTGAAAATAATAGAAAGAAAGCCTAAAGAAAGAAAACGAATGCAGCCATCACATGTAATGATTGGTAAGGTACAATACAATAAATGTTTGTTTTTGGGTTTAATACTGCTTTAATAAATTGACTCTTACCTCTATTTCTGAACTAATTTATTTTAGGTGTGATATTCAGTTACTGAGAGGAAAAACAATCTCCTCCATCTGTTGGGTCCTGGCTTGGCGGTAGCTGACTGCCAATGACACTTGCACGCTATGTATCGTAAATACTGTAGAGTGCCCTCCGCCATGCTTTGCAGGATATCAGGATTTGTTACAGTTCTGTGACCATATAAAGACACTGACATGGAAGACCTGCATGCCAAACAATGTATAACACAAACTTCACGTGAAGTGGTTGCATTGTGTGACGACTATGTTCTGTGCATTTTAATTGCTTCCTACATGCATTTTCCCTTTTCTATGGTCTTGTTCTCGATCAGGAAGGAAATCTCTTGTATCAAAATATGTGAACCTTCGCCTTGTGAAACAACCTATTCAGTTTAACCCCTTCCAGTCCGGACACTTTCACCCCCTTCCAGTCCGGACACTTTCCCCCACTTCCAGTCCGGACACTTTCTCCCACTTCCAGTCCGGACACTTTCACCCCCTTCCAGTCCGGACACTTTCACCCCCTTCCAGTCCGGACACTTTCACCCCCTTCCAGTCCGGACACTTTCCCCCACTTCCAGTCCGGACACTTTCACCCCCTTCCAGTCCGGACACTTTCCCCCACTTCCAGTCTGGACACTTTCACCCCCTTCCAGTCCGGACACTTTCCCCCACTTCCAGTCCGGACACTTGCACCCCCTTCCAGTCCGGACACTTGCACCCCCTTCCAGTCCGGACAATTGCACCCCCTTCCAGTCCGGACACTTTACCCCACTTCCAGTCCGGACACTTTCCCCCACTTCCAGTCCAGATACTTTCCCCCCCTTCCAGTCCGGACACTTTCCCCCACTTCCAGTCCGGACACTTTCCCCCACTTCCAGTCCGGACACTTTCCCCCACTTCCAGTCAGGACACTTTCCCCCCCTTCCAGTCCGGACACTTTCCCCCCCTTCCAGTCCGGACACTTTCCCCCCCTTCCAGTCCGGACACTTTCCCCCACTTCCAGTCCGGACACTTTCACCCCATTCCTGCCCAGGCCAATTTTCAGCTTTCAGCGCTATCACACTTTGAATGACAATTGCGCGGTCATGCAACACTGTACCCATATGAATTTTTTTAGCATTTTTTTGAGACAGATAAAGCTTTATTTTGGTGGTATTTGATCACCGCTGGGATTTTTATTTTGTTTTGCTATACAAATGAAAGTCCAAAAATTAAAAAAAAAGTGTTTTTCTTATAAAATTTTGCAAATAAATACCGTATTTTTCGCTCCATTTCTGTCTCTGTCAAATTCAGGTACCCACTCCCCCAACCTGCCCAAAGGTCCGCAGTCTCTGGTCATCCACTGCACTGTCTGCAGTCTCTGGCCATCTGTACTATGTCCACAGTCTATGGTCATCTCCTGTACTGTGTCCGCAGTCTCTGGTCATCCACTGTACTGTGTCCGCAGTCTCTGGTCATCCCCTGTACTGTGTCCGCAGTCTCTGGTCATCTCCTGTACTGTGTCTGCAGTCTATGGTCATCCCCTGTACTGTGTCCGCAGTCTCTGGTCATCCCCTGTACTGTGTCCGCAGTCTCTGGTCATCCCCTGTACTGTGTCCGCAGTCTATGGTCATCCCCTGTACTGTGTCCGCAGTCTCTGGTCATCTCCTGTACTGTGTCTGCAGTCTCTGGTCATCTCCTGTACTGTGTCCGCAGTCTCTGGTCATCCCTTGTACTGTGTCCGCAGTCTCTGGTCATCTCCTGTACTGTGTCCGCAGTCTCTGGTCATCTCCTGTACTGTGTCCGCAGTCTCTGGTCACCTCCTGTACTGTGTCCGCAGTCTCTGGTCATCCCCTGTACTGTGTCCGCAGTCTCTGGTCATCTCCTGTACTGTGTCCGCAGTCCCTGGTCATCTCCTGTACTGTGTCCGTAGTCTCTGGTCATCTCCTGTACTGTGTCCGCAGTCCCTGGTCATCTCTTGTACTGTGTCCGCAGTCTCTGGTCATCTCCTGTACTGTGTCCGCAGTCTCTTGTCATCTCCTGTACTGTGTCCGCAGTCTCTGTTCATCTCCTGTACTATGTCCGCAGTCTCTGGTCATCCCCTGTACTGTGTCCGCAGTCTCTGGTCATCGCCTGTACTGTGTCCGCAGTCTCTGGTCATCTCCTGTACTGTGTCCGCAGTCTCTGGTCATCGCCTGTACTGTGTACGCAGTCTCTGGTCATCGCCTGTACTGTGTCCGCAGTCTCTGGTCATCCCCTGTACTGTGTCCGCAGTCTCTGGTCATCGCCTGTACTGTGTCCGCAGTCTCTGGTCATCTCCTGTACTGTGTCCGCAGTCTCTGGTCATCCCTTGTACTGTGTCCGCAGTCTCTGGTCATCTCCTGTACTGTGTCCGCAGTCTCTGGTCATCTCCTGTACTGTGTCCGCAGTCTCTGGTCACCTCCTGTACTGTGTCCGCAGTCTCTGGTCATCCCCTGTACTGTGTCCGGTGTCTCTGGTCATCTCCTGTACTGTGTCCGCAGTCCCTGGTCATCTCCTGTACTGTGTCCGTAGTCTCTGGTCATCTCCTGTACTGTGTCCGCAGTCCCTGGTCATCTCTTGTACTGTGTCCGCAGTCTCTGGTCATCTCCTGTACTGTGTCCGCAGTCTCTTGTCATCTCCTGTACTGTGTCCGCAGTCTCTGTTCATCTCCTGTACTATGTCCGCAGTCTCTGGTCATCCCCTGTACTGTGTCCGCAGTCTCTGGTCATCGCCTGTACTGTGTCCGCAGTCTCTGGTCATCTCCTGTACTGTGTCCGCAGTCTCTGGTCATCGCCTGTACTGTGTACGCAGTCTCTGGTCATCGCCTGTACTGTGTCCGCAGTCTCTGGTCATCCCCTGTACTGTGTCCGCAGTCTCTGGTCATCGCCTGTACTGTGTCCGCAGTCTCTGGTCATCCCCTGTACTGTGTCCGCAGTCTCTGGTCATCTCCTGTACTGTGTCCGCAGTCTCTGGTCATCCCCTGTACTGTGTCCGCAGTCTCTGGTCATCTCCTGTACTGTGTCCGCAGTCTCTGGTCATCTCCTGTACTGTGTCTGCAGTTGATTCAGAATATTTTTTTTCTTGTTTTCCTCCTCTAAAACCTAAGTGCGTCTTATGGAGCGATAAATACGGTAATATTTCATCATAAATCTTGGCCAAAATTTATTCAGTTATCTTTTTAGTAAAAAAAAAAAATAACCTAAATTAGTTTATAACCAATAATTTTTTTTTACATTTTTATTTTATTTTTTTATATAGAGCCATTGAGAACTACTCTGTGAGCTGTGATTGGTCACAGCTTGTCACATGGTACAAGGCTGTTGTGAATAGCCCTGTACCATGTGACCTCTGTTATCATTCATCACAGATTTCACACGTAGTAAGCAATGATGTCAGAAGTGACATCTTGTTTACTACTCTGCATGTGATCACTGATTGACCAATCAGTGATCACATGATCGGGACCTCGCACAGAGGTCCTGTATGATGATCGGTGTTTCACTGTGTCCTCCGGACACAGCGGGCATCGGATCGCGGTGCTGCGTGCAGGGGCGGACTGTCAACTCATGGGGCCAATAGGGCATCATGGGGCCACTGTGTCCTTGCCCAAACTCAAAAAAGCCTATGAAAAAGGTACCAGGGGCATCTCATGGGGCCCCCTACTGACCCTGGGCCTTCGGGTAGTGCCCGAGTTTCCAAATGGTCAGTCCGCCCCTGGCTGCGTGCTCCCAGGGAGTGCACACAGTCCATAATGGCGGGTGACGTTTATGAACAGCAACCCGCCCCTGGGGTGCCACCGTCTTGCCGTTTATATACAGCGGCCGGATGGCAAGTGGTTAAAATACAAAATGAAAGGCAAAAAATTTGTGTATAGATATAAAAAAACATTATAACTACCTTTTTCTTCTTTTTTTTTAATAAGTGATCACATACCCTCTGTTATCAGCTGCATGGGGTGGAGAAGCAGCAGTACACTAATCTTCCCAGTGAATGGCTGTGCAGGGAGGGGTGGTGTCAGTACAAGTCTTATCATTGGAGGACAGGCAGGCTATTCTCCCAGCACATCCAAAAAACCAATACAAAACCTCCTGCTCTCAGGGATCCAGATCAGTAGAGGGCCGATAGACCAATATATACTAGGATACGTAGACATTCGTCCAAGACCAATCAAAGGCTGTGCAGTTCTCACATGAAGCT